CAGCACTGGTCGGGCAGCTCATGGATCGACATCTCATTGATCTGAACGCAGAGATCCATAAATATCTGTCAAAAGATTTCTATCCGTTTAAGACATTCAACGGATCGGCAGTTAATATAACCGTTCGTGAAGTCATGTCTCATATGGCAGGCCTTCATGTGAGTGTATTTCCCGATGATTTTGACAATTACTTGATAAGACGTGCGGACAATGTAAGTCATAATATCAGACCATTCAAAAACGAGCCCTTACTGTCCAAACCCGGCACTCAATTTAATTACTCTAATTACGGATATATAATGACCGGAGCTATCATTGAGTCCATACTTAACAACACATATGAGAATGAAATTAAGAAAATGTTTACCCAATTACACATGAATTCAACATTTGCTGAGAGACGAGAAATGATTGTTAAACACAGACCACAATACTATCAATTATCAAACGAAACATCCGGGACATTGCAAAAGTCTGATATAATCGATGAATTGTTTTTATACGAGGGTTGGTGGCCCGCAGGGGGTATCATATCAACGGCGGACGATATGTTACGGTTTGCAAATGCTATGCTATCTGCATATCATGGCAAAGATCAAGGTAATCGTAGTTTAACATTATATTTATAATTTGCTTTATACTGCATTTGATTAAAAAACACTCATTTTTATAAATGTTTAAAGATTTCTTAAGTCAAAAAACAGTACAGGAGTTGTGGACACCAGAAACCATTGGCAAAATTAAACCCGATTGGATGGGTGATAATGAATATGGTATTTCTAGTAATACAATAAATAAATTAAAATTAATGACAATAATATTTAGCAAAGGGTTGGATAGTTACTCACTACCCGGATGACCTACCCTACCCCTATAAGACCCTAATTTGGCACGATGGAGGACTGACCGGTGTATCAACTCATCTGATTATATTTCCCAAAGAAAATATGGTAGGACTGGTATTCACTAATAGGGGCGAGGTACAATATTTAGATCATTTGATCAAATATGTGGCACAAAATTTTCAACCTTTCTTATAAAATTAATTTTATTCAAATATAACTTATGCTGATATTAATAAAAATAAATTTTTGAGCAATTAATTATATTATTAGCTAAATAACAATAATTTATTATTCTTAATAACTGCTCTTGCTTAATAAATATAGTGATAAAATTATTTGAAAAATTTTAATTATTATGCAAGCATATTACTGTATAAAAAATTCTACAGTATGAGCTTGGTAATGGTAAAAATTAAATTGAGAATAAGTTATTTAATAAAATAAATAATAATTTTAGACGTCGTCCGCAGTTTCGTAAGTTTTGGGAAACCATTTAACATAAATGGGTTTGAAATGAAACGTATCCGGGTGTCCAAAATGGTTACCCTTGAAGCCACTGGTGGACCACTGGAATGGCGGCTGTTGTGCATCAGTGGGTCCGCTGACGGCCAACATCTCCAGATCCCAGACCATCGTCGATGTAGTCATCTTCGCATCGATGGCACCCTCGAGATCGTGAGACCACTCAGGGATGGCGTAACTGCCGGTGACTTCGTTGAGATCATTGCGGGCAGCGATGGTTAGGTCCGCAGAATAGGGAGGAATGCATTGCTTGTTATATGTCTGGCACTGAGACAACGGATCCCTTTTGAAGTCATTGTAACGCATCAATGAATACAAAGTCTGCAAATCCGTGACTTTCGACTCATCCCTGCGGAAGATCAGCGCCCGAGCGGTCGAGTTGTGGCTATAAAAGGGACCAAATTTGCGGAACATATCGGCGGTGCCACTCATTTGGTAGATATCCGGAAAATATGGCACATTATATGAGGCCCAATAGCCCTGTGCCCGGAGCACAGGAGTTACGTCAGCCGCGTGTATGATGTCCGGCATCTGCTCCACAATCCATAGCAAATCATTGGCCAAATCGGACACTTTTGTACCCCTTTTGAATAGTTTGTAGTCAACGATCATAAACTGGTTGTCATATGTCCCGCTATTATAAGGACTAAACAGTTGTGTCCACTCTTTGCCCGATTCGGCCAAACGATTGGACACAACATTGCGTATGAACTCAAAGATTACATTATCGGCTCTGATATGTCTATACAGGGATTGATTATAGTTGCCATTCGTGGTCTCCTGCACCACAAGACCCGATGATATGACATAAAAGTCATCGACAGAGAAGACAAGACCCGGATATGAAGAGAAGGTCACCGAATGACCGGCTATTGGTTTCGTGCGGTTTGACTGCAATGTATTGAAAGCGAAACTGTATTTCTTGAGCACTCGTAACATAGCCTGATATGGGGTCCACGAGTTGTGCGACACAAATAGGTCGCTCCCATCGGCCAGGGGTTTGACAATCGCCGAGCAGTGGTCGCTGTGATGGACGGTTGAGTTGGGGCTCACGATTCGCGCCAAACTCGCCGTTTCTGTCCATAAGTTTAGCCAAAATATTTCACTCATATATTGAGTTTCCGTCGCATTTTTGATATCATTTTCCACTTTCCATAACTCATACCCTTTTTCTAAACCATTAATTTGTTGGTATATTAGACTCAACTGATGCCAGTAGTCGTNCAAAATATTTCACTCATATATTGAGTTTCCGTCGCATTTTTGATATCATTTTCCACTTTCCATAACTCATACCCTTTTTCTAAACCATTAATTTGTTGGTATATTAGACTCAACTGATGCCAGTAGTCGTCTTTGTGTTTAGATATCATAGTTTCGACAAATTTTGTATTATTTTTCACAAATTCTTTAAATGATTTACAAATTTGTGTCTTTTGGTCGCAAATGCCTTCAATAATATTGCGATAACTCATGTGAATTAGTTGTCCAGTTATGTAGCCCTCGATCACTCCACCCATATATGACTGCACCTCATCGGGAAAGCCGTCGTAAGTTCGTAGCTCTAAATTCGCCCAACTTTTGGTATAAATTGAATAAATATTGTTATAAAAAAAAGTTTACTGTAAACTAAATTGAGTAACAAATACCCGGTTTTGTTGACATTGTTTTCATATATAAGTAAAGCGACCGCATCTTCGGGTAAATCAATGATTGTCTCATTATATGTAACATTTAAATGAATTATACCATCGCTTGTGATGTAATTATATTTAAAACTTAACACACATTTTATAGCAACTATTGTAAAAATGATCGCCACAGTTATATGTTTCATTTTGAAAACTATTAATATTAATATATGAAAAACGATTTCTTAAGTGAACTAAAATCGTGAAAATAACTTCAGTTTACTAACTATTTATAACCACTTACGTAAACAAATATCAAGTGATTTGATAATGGATTCAAATAGTAGATAACAGTAGTATTCATAGCTAATTGTTTTAGTCATTGATTCTAGTTATTATCAAAATTAATGTCACTCAATGTACTATTGGTTGAGGGACAAATATTGAAGTTTATGACATCAATGAATCAAATTATGAATTTAATTTTTACTTATAATGATGAATTGTAAAATCAAATAAAAGTAAATCATCAAAGTACTTTTAAAATATTATATTGTATTTATATATCTTGTTGCAGTAACTTCTATTAATATTAGGTAGATTACTTATTAGTTTTATATTATATGCAATTCATTAATTATTTCAGATTATTATATCAGTATAATTCGTTAAACAAATAATTTTTTCTTCAAGAAATTATTTTGATATTTTAAACTCATTTTATTCAAATTGTTTATACAATTTTTTCGTATAATCTCATTAAACTAATTTAAATGATTAATCAATATATTTTTTAAATCAACTAACAAAAGGGTATATCAAGTATATCATACAAAATAGTATATCTTTCTCTACACTCAATTTTTACATTTTTCAAAAATATTTGTTTAATAATAGTTATATTAATTATTTATTCGGTAAATATATTTTACCTTTGATTTTATCTGAATTTGATAAGTTATGTGGTAACAAATTGTGTCTGGTACAGATTGAAATACTTTGTAAACAATTGATACTAAGACCTAGTGCTGGTATCATTGGGAATATAAACATAAGTTAAAATTAAATCTAATCACTGATTATTAACCAGCAAAAAACAAATTAAATTTATTATAAATATAAGTAATTCAGTTATTTTCAATCAAAAGGTTTAATTAGTAATTTGAGAAATGTATTCAAATATAAGTAGTTTTGCATTTTTAATAATTTGTTTGTCTCGATGTAATGCTTTACAAAGGGATTTACAATTTGAAAAGTTTGATGAGTTTATAAACAATGGATTTAATGAAGAGTTGGATTCAAATAAAAAGTACGACTCTAT